AGGTAACTGGCCAAAAGATCCTTCGAGCCATAGGTCAGAGAGCATGGCTGTGTGGGGTGGCTGCCCGAGGCACTAGACACCAGCCAAGTCACAGTGTTGCACATGTGCACTAAATCCACCTACACACAACTCATTTACAAAGAATGCACCACACCACCCCCAACTGTATCTAAGGCGAGGGGGGCCTGATTAAGTTATTCTATTTTCCCAATACCAACTGAGCTAACCAGCCAGCTCAGAAAATCAATTTTTGTTGTTTCAAATTGCTAAGTTCCTAATAGAGTCATTTACAGGTTACTAACAGGGTTGGAATACATGGAGAAGGAAGGAAAGGATAGAGTAGGGAAGGAAAGTCAGTAATAGAAAAGCAGAGGAGGTAATAAAATCTGGAGTCTGACTTCTTTACTTTTTCTTTCCTTCTTACACACCATTGCATGTTAATTTGCTGTTGTTAAATGAAACTTCCTTCGTGTGAAAACTGAACGTGGAAACCCCAAGCTTTACAGTAAGAAAGAATAACAAAGCTATTCTGAGTGCTTTCTCTGTATTTAATCAATCTCAGCCTGTGCAGTAGGTCCTATTAATCCGTTTTTCACAGATAAGGGTGATGTGACTTTCCTAAGGTCACACAGCCAAGATCAAACCCAGGCACTCTGGCTTGAGAGCCTATGCTGTAACCACTACACCATCCTATGTCTGTCTCCAAATGGCGGGGGGCGGGGGGGGGGGGGGCTGAGCATGGAGGGACGTCAGGGCTTCTTTGAAGCTTTCTGTGTAGCTACACATTAGGGGGTACCTTTTCCCCATTAATCCTCTGGCCTAAGTGGACCAACCAAAGACTTTTGTCTTTGTTCCCTTTAGCTTAAGACAGACTGGAACACTCACAAAAAACTTTAATAATTAAAGGGAGACAAAAGAAATATAAATAAGAGTCTTGAAGAGCTATACAATATGGCATGAACTGGCCTTATTGCAAAGGCCTCTGGGCTCCTCATGTGCCCGACTGTGTAAGGCAGCCTGGCACCACTGTGGTGGAAGATGCTCATGTCTGGTCTTCAGATATGCCTACTCCCTATGTAAGTATCACCATAAGTGGTCCTGCCCTTCAGCAAAGCCAGATTACCTAGATCTAAATAAAAACAAAGCCCAGTTCTAATACCTAGGAACTGGTTTCTGGGGAAAGAGGCCCAACAGAAACCTGCTGGGTGGCTCTAGCCTTTAATAACTCATTTCACAAAGTTTTGGTCTGATCATGTTGTTTCCAATCATCTGTTTAACATAATGGCCTTGCTTTCTCACTGTGTCCTGCAGGCTAGTAGTGTTTACAAGCATGGGCTCTGCTTTCCAATCCCAGCTATGCCACTGTACCCATGATGTGGCTTCCACCACAGGCCCACCATATAATATTATCTCATATCCATGTAACCCATGCATTTGCTGGGCCTGTACTACACTGTTTCCAACCTCCGCTAATCCTGACAATACTCAGCTCCATTGCTGGTTTCCAAGGAAAAGCTATAATCCTAACTTATCGTGAACTTTGTCCTTTTACTAAAGCTTTATGGGGTTGGGTAGAAAAGCAGGGCACACAGTGTAGACCAGTTTTTCAAAGAGTTTCCAATTAGATACCTAATTAGCCAGCTCTTCCCCCAAGTCTTCCAGGAAGAACTGCCAACAGGTATTCTTCTCTTTTTACCTCCCTTCATCCAGCCTCTACTCCACCCTAGAATTTCCTCTCTCTTTTCCCAACCCTCCCTTCCTTGTTCCTCTGCCAGTCTCTCAACCCTTTTTCATGCTGAGCATTTTTGCACATCTAAACCCAGGTATTCAGTAGCAAACCACCACCTGACTTACCCTCCTAAAGACTTACACAGCACAACTTTTCTGTACAATTACACAAGCTTCCTCCTGAGGTGCCTGTGTTGAAGTCACTGAAGCAGGCCCACTGTGATGGGTGGAGAGTCAGAACCACGTTAGAGACAGAGACCCTGAAATGGTCTGAGACCCCCAACTAGCCATTAGGACCTTGAGCAAGTCACTTTACATCTATGAACCTCAGTTTCTCCATTTGCAAAATAAAGACTGAACTAAAAGAACTGAGACTACTTCCAGTTTTCACATTCTATGGTTTTAGGTAACCACTGACAGAGACTCTTCTCTAAGCAAAACTTTAATCAGGCTCCTCTGAGTCCTCTGCTTGACTAGGCCAACCCTGGGTTTCCATCTTGTCCTTGCAGAATCCAGTTTGAACAAGAATACTGCTAAGTCAGTTTAGGGAAACTCCCCCACCATTGGTATCTGACCTTGATATCACTCCTGGCCTGCCTTCAAGTTCATTTAGCCAAAAACCTCTTATCCTCGATGTTTCCTCTTAGGAATCTTCAATCCACTGACCCCCAACCGTGTTGCTGAGTTATAAATCCCCACTTGTCCTTGTTGGAGCTGGAGTTGAGCCCAGTTGCTCTCTCTCACTGCAACATCCTATCACAGTGGTTGCTGAACCTTTTACCATGGCCCATCCTCTGAATAAAGTGTGCCTTACCACGTCTAACAAGTGTCAAGAATAATTTTTTTTTCTGTAACATGACCTAGGCAAAACCAAAAAAAATATAATTGAGGAACACCTAACTTTGTCGTACTAACATCTTTCCATTTTAGGTTTAAAGCACCTTAATTACTTGGTCACCGCTCTATTTTCCACACTCCCATCCTACAAAAATTGTTCATAATTTGCAGAAAGCTTTGCTTCCCCTACTGGCTTTGGTCCAGCTCCTCAAAGAACATGATCTTTTATGACCACATATGAATGGAGCAGAGCTGTCTTCCTCCCAAGGGTATTATTTAGAAAACTATAAGTACTTTTTGTTGAGGAGAAGGCTGCTTCTGTCTTCCTCATATCTACTTCAACGAGCAAACAAAAATGCCACTAAAAATCTGTGATCGGAGATTAAACATCATACGTATCACCCTATTTTCCATTTTCAGTTCTTTCAATGTCCCTACCAAAATATAAAAATAATTCCCAGAAACTGGCGGGGGGTGGGGTGGATTGTGACAGAACATGAAATTCTGCCCACCTCTGACTTAACCACCTTGCTTAATTCCCTAGTGAGTAAAACCAGACAGTACAAAACCATCTATGACAAATGCTGTGTCCTGGCAGACAGATGTATGTCAACTCCTGCACATGCTGTCTTGGCTTTGTTTGCTTGCTTTTGTCAATTCTCTGATTCTTTGGAAAAAGATTATCTATCCCCAAGGCCATTAAAGGATCTAACTAGGATAAACAGTGGTAAGGAGTTTCTGCCCATGAGAAACAGTCCTCCATTGTCAGACATTCCCTCTTAATTGATCTTAATAAGCTATTTTAAATGAAGGGGAAGGAAAAGCATAGAACTAACACATGGTAATTATCTGTAATTCTCCATTTGTAATGTCACTGAATAAGAAAAAATAATGCAAATGTGGACAGATGCTGACTAGCGCTTTACAATGACATTAAAATTAGGGTATTTCGAACAGTAAAGTAACATGACTAAGTTTCAGTATTTGAAAAGCAGGTTTTAATCCTGGCAACAACACAGACCACAGATGGCTGGAAATAGTAATGAGATGAAATTTCCACAAGGCATGACCCATGAGAACTGGCAGTGGTTAGAGACCTTGGCATTATGGCCTAAAAGTTGAATCAGTGTGGCAGAGACTTGTTTAGCTACAATATTTAATATAAAATTCGGTTATTCTATATCATCTTTAAAGTAAGAGAAAGAGAAAGAGAAATAGAGTCCACAGCTTCTTAGATAGGTTTTTTGGCAACTTAAAAGAACAGTAATCCTAGCAGTTTAGTGGTCATTTAAAATCAAACAACCTTAATTTACAGATGAAGAAAAGAAAACCCAGAGGAGGTTTCACAGCTGTTAGCAAAGCCCACAGGGAGGGGGTGGGGGTGGGGTCATGGAAAGACCACTATTCTTTATTATCTTATTTATAATCTCATCTTCAATCTTCACCAGTAATCAACACTTGCTTTCATCAACTGAGTATTCGACTTTATCCCTATTGGCACTAATACGTAATCTTTGCGCATTTATTGTGTGCTCCATGCTGGGGTCACTATAATAATTAGGATAAAACCTAGTACAGAAGGAACAATTTTATCTAATGTTTCAGCAGTAATTTATTATCATGTTTTGAAAATTCCATAAATCTTCACTGCATAAATGCGAGTGATCCTGTGTGTGTGTGTGTACATGTGAAGGAGTGGGTGTGCGGGTAGAGCATCAACTCAATATGTATTTCCTTGAAATGGTTAGCTGTCTGACAAATTTTCTCTCATAAATTTAAATTACTGGGGCTACTAAATCAAACAAAACTTGTCAAAATTTTGCAAATTTCGTTTTGCTCATTATTCTTCTCCTTCCTCTATGAGATAACTGTCTATTAGACAAAGTGCTAATCATGTTGTTACTGTTTATATATTCAGAACATAATAGTCAATACCTAAGATTTATTTCTAAGTTCCTCCCCCAAAATGAACATATTTTTCTTGTGTTACCACTTTTGGGTATAAATTTTATACTGGTATTTCACTAGTATAATATTTGACTTAAAAAATCAAATGTTATCAATATTAAAATAATTATTAAAACTAAGATTTTTAAAAGAATCAAGGTGTTCTCTAAGGCTTTGCCATTGCAAATCATTTTGATAACTGGAAAACTATTATTTATTATACTTTATCACGTTATGTTCAACCCTAACCAGAACCTTGTATTCCCATCTTAGTGATGAGAACACTTTAGATGAGAGCAGTTAAGTAAGTTGGCCAAAATTACATCAGGACACAGGATTCAAAACCAGGTCTCCCTGCTCCAAATCCTACACTCTTTCCTTTTTAATTTGTTACTGCACCCAAGACCCTAAGCAAATTAAACGGCTAAACTGTGAAACTCAAAATATTAACAAAATCACACAAAAATGCCACATATCCTGTTTCATACCTTTAATCCTCTGAAACTTCCTGGGCTAGTTGGAGAGGAACTGGAGGATTTTGTAGATTTAGGAGTAGAAAGTTGGCTGCTGGGAGTTCCATTAACTGACCATGAGACAACAAAGGAGACAGAGATCATCAAAACCCAAAACAACCAGATTGTGTAAAACACTAAGTAAATGCACAATATACGTCCGATGAAGCTTCAGTTCATGGAAAGCTCAAAGCAGATGGCAAATCAGCAAAAAGAATGTATCTTATTGCATTACAGACAAAAAAAAAAAAAAAAATCAAACAAGGGGTGAAATCAGAATTATTTTTAAAAATAGTTTTGCAACAGTGATACAAACATTTAGGAGTAGAAAGTTGGCTGCTGGGAGTTCCATTAACTGACCATGAGACAACAAAGGAGACAGAGATCATCAAAACCCAAAACAACCAGATTGTGTAAAACACTAAGTAAATGCACAATATACGTCCGATGAAGCTTCAGTTCATGGAAAGCTCAAAGCAGATGGCAAATCAGCAAAAAGAATGTATCTTATTGCATTACAGACAAAAAAAAAAAAAAAAATCACACAAGGAGTGAAATCAGAATTATTTTTAACAATAGTTTTCCAACAGTGATACAAACAAATATAAAAGACATTATGTAATTAGCAATATGAACAATAATTTGTCCATATATCCTGTGTGCCAGCAAAGGGAGAGAAAAAATTTCCTGTTATATTTGTGATACTTTCATAACCTCCAATTATCCACTATCTTGAATAACCAAGAAGTTCTCATGGCTCTCCTAAATCACTTCCACCATAATCCAAACACTTGTAAGTATATTCTTAATGGAAAGGGAAAATTACTCCTCATTTTCCTTGTAATATGTACTTATTTGAATGAAGGCCATAAATGACATTCTTCAAGATTTTTTTTTTTTATTCTAGACTAGTTATTTCTAATCCTTCCATTTTATTGTCTTTGCAGCTTAATTTCCCCATTATTTAGAAAATCTTGGTAGTTTTCTATACTCCCTCAAAACATCTATACACTTTTTTGGCTGAAAACTCGATTTAGAGCCTATGCTAGGAAGAGGATGGCCACTGGTGTTTAGAGGGGAAGGTTAATTTGCAGATTCTATACTACAAAATGGTGGTCAAACATTTCAGTGTGACTCATGCTTATTCCTAACTGTACCACCTGGATCCAATTCTGTAGTAATTTCACAAAGCTGGTAGTTAACATCTAGTATTGGTATATATTTTTTCTCCTCTGAAGAGTATCTGCAATCCCTGTTATTATTAATCTTCAAAGCTTTTGCCCAAAGTAGATGAGAATTGCCATTTATCTTTATGGAAAGAAAAACAAAGTCTATCTGCCTTTTAAACAAAACAAAACAAAACAAAACAAAACATGAGGGAGCAGACTACTCTATTTTAAATGATGCTAATAAATATAACAAGCCAAATGCAGAAGTAAAGGTCCTGAATAGGTGACTCCAAAAAGTGAGCCCACCAGTCCTTGAACAGCGGCAGAAATTCTGGATCAAGTATTCATTATTAGATGAATCATCTGTAAACAGGGTTATCTGGGTTTATGAAGTCATATTTGTTAACTGTACTGCTTATTTTTAAAAAATCAGTAAAAATTTTAAAATTCAATTATCTTTAAATTTCCAAACTTTAATTTTTCTAATTCAAATCACTCATTCAAAAATGATGATTACTGGGCCGACCTATGGCTCACTCGGGCGAGTGCGGTGCTGGTAACACCAAGGCCATGGGTTCGGATCCTATATAGAGATGGCCGGTTGGCTCACTGGCTGAGCGTGGTGCTGACAACACCAAGCCAAGGGTTGAGATCCCCTTACCGGTCATCTTTAAAAAAAAAAAAAAAAAACAAAAACAAAAATGATGATTATCTAGATTTTCTTAACAAATATATGTGGGTACTTCAAGTAAAAGTATAACATAAGTAACTATACAATTAATTAGAAACATTTAAGAGTATTCAATAGCCCTGGTTATTTCTCAATTAAGTTAAATTTCAATTAATGTAATCTCTTTCAAAAAAAATTCTTTTTAAGGTACAACACAAAGGATTTTTAGATTAGTGAAGCTACTCTGTATGAGACTACAATGGTGGGTACACATCACTATAAATTTGTCCAAACCCATAAAATGCATAACACCAAAAGTGAACCTTAATGTGAACTATGGCCTTTAGGTGATAATGATGTGTCAATGTAGGTTCATCAATTGTAACAAATGTACTACTTTGGTGGGGGATGTTGAAAATGCAGATTATGCACATTCATGGGCAGGGAGTACACAGGAAATTTGTACGTTTCACTCAATTTGGCTGTGAACCTAAAACTGCTCTAAAAAACAGTCTAAAAAAATCTCTTTAAAAGGGATTCATGTAAAATAGAGATTATTATGGGCAATAAACTAGTAAGCTTGCTGTAAACTGAGACTGAATTTTATTTTTTATTTTTCCCCATTCCGCACAGCAATCTGTACAGATCACTAGTTCCTAATCAATAGCTACTGTTAGCTTTCACTAACAGTATCAGATGCCACACTGATAGCAAAAACTTCCCTGAAATGGGATAGAAAAGGGATTAAAGGAGAGAAAAATCAGTTCCTGCAGGTGTTGATCTCTACAGCAGACGAGTCTCCCTAAAAATACATCCCCTGCCTAAGCATAGTTTCTTAACAAATCTTACTGCCAGGGATTTAAGTGGTTCAATAACTATATGCCCATATTTTCCCCCAAATAACTCTCATTCTAAAGAGATGCTAATCACACGTAGCCCTGTTAGTCTTTGATAGCATTTGGAACGTTCTAAAAAATGTTCTTTAGTAAGTAATCCTCAATTTCATTTACCTGCACATTTCTGCAGAACTTTGGGGCTGGTAAATGGAACCCTGGACAGTGCTGCGTGGTACCCTCTCCCCTCTCACTACTGCTGCAAACTGTGTGTGACGACCAGCCAGCATCTTTGTGATGCTCCCACTCCTCCACCACACCTCTGATTTTCTTTCCCAAAATTTCATCCCCCTCTCCTCAACTGTTAAGGTAAGAAATAAACTTGGGGTTTTTTTGTTTATTTGTTGTTCTGAATCCTTTTTATCTTGGTGGACTATGAAAGATTCACAAGCTAGAAACCTGAAACAAGGATTTTAAATACTCAAATCATGCTAACTATTTACCTACTTATGTTATCTGGATTAATATCTATGTGTTTATTAATACTATGTAGCTATTTTGGTAGAGTTTTGTTGAAGGATTTAGCCAACCAGAAGACTTCATTCAGAGCAGCCCTCCTGTCCCAAGATTGAAAAAAAATATTATGCTTACGAAGTTAACTACCTCTGTTTGAAATTCCAATTAGTCCCATGGAATTTTTAAAATGGCAATAGGTCTACCACAACTAACAATCTGTAAAAAGCAAGAAACACTCCTGGGTACTGTGGATTTTAATAATGCAAAACTCTCTCCTTCCTGGTGGTAGGGGTTGAAGAAAAAAACACTACATAGATAAGTATAGTAGCTTTCTTCAGAATCACACTGAAGTCCCAGCAGTTGACTCAGGCTTTCTGTTTTCTATACCTGCAGTAAGTGCTGAACACACTTTGAATTAATCTTTTATAAAGAAGACTATATGCCCTCTGAAATGTGATTTTAAGATCCCACAACTTATACTTACGAGTTTAAGCACTACTCTATTAACCCGAATCCAAATATGAACTCAGTTGAAAATTCTGCACACTGGAATGCTAAGATTTTCCTTAGTCTGTTTCTCAGCATTCCAAATTCATCTTAAAAATGATTATTTATACATTTATTAAGCTATGTTATGGAGCAATTGGTCCACATGATAAATGTGGCTGTGAAACATGTTTCTAGTTCAGGATGTTAATTTTCCTCTCTGGATCTCAAGGGGACAAAATTGAATTAATCATAATATCTGATTCTTGAACCACTCTCCCTTTTATTTATTTTACTTACATGATAAGCATCTGTAAACCTATCACCTAAAACAAAAGCTAGGATCCTGACAAAAATCTACATCTACCCTATGATAAAGCCCAGGTCAGGGTATTTATGTAAATTTCTTATTATATTAGCATCCCCAGTTTTGAATACTTTGCAGAAAGCATAATACAATTTGAAGTCAGGTAAACAACAACGAGATCTCTTTGGTTTAAAAACACTCATACTGTCAACTGTTAAATTTTCATTTTAAAATACTGTCATATTTTTAGAGACAGCACTGTTTGACAACTAGAAAGACTGCAGTGCTGCCTCCTTGTATGTACAAGAAACACCTCATAATCCTACTCTGGCATATGCTATTTATTAAGTACTTTGAATTCTACAATTTTAATGATTCCTAAGCACTTAACACCAGGATGGGGAGAGACGGGAGAAGAACACAATTGCTTCTTGGCCATTTTCACATTTCCGACCAACTTTAGCCTTTTTCAGTAAGAAAAAATTTCCCAAATTAACTAGAAGACAGACCCCTTGAGGTGATGTGCTTCCCCCATCACTGTGTATTTCAACTATATCCAGACAGGCACTTAGCAATCTTCTCATGATAACAGGTTCTTTAATAAAAAAAGGCTGAAGTGTCCTACACATTGTGAAGCATTTCATACTGCACAGATGTACACTGGAATAAGCCAGATACATTCATGGAAATGGAGCAAAAGGAAACAGAAACGTGGCAAAAGACAAAAAAACAAAAACCCAGCAGAGTGACAAAGCCATAATAATCATGGCTCACCTGGGGATTTGGCTGTAGAATAGGCACTGGAGTAGTGGCCACCCCTCTTTACTGTACACATGCAGTATACACATAGCAGGAGGAGACAGTAAGGAGAGTGGTTATTCAGCAGGTCTGAACGTGTGCACAGAAGTGTAAAACAACATGCCCTAAAGAAAGTGGGGTGGTTGCTGGAGGGGAAGCACTGAAAAGTGGAACGTCCAAAAAACTGTCTTTTAGAAAGTTTGATTCTCAAGGTGGGTTTTATTGATACTTTCCCATGTTCTAGATATCCCACCTGCAAAATCAGTTTTTTCACAATTCTTTCCTCAATGGGAAATGATACAAGCCAAATTATTCTTAATTACTATAAGCAAACCTATAGAATCAATATATTAAGAGATTTCTGATTGTTTTTAATTTCTAAAAATGCCAAGACAGTAAAAATTATGACAAATCTAAAGAGCTTAGGACCTGAAAGAAACAAGTACAGGTAGGTCTGACGGTCTGACTCTTTTTTTTTTTTTTTTCCTTTTTGTCTTTTTTTTTTTTTTTCTTTTTGTCTTTTTTTTTTTTTTTCTTTTTGTCTTTTTTTTTTTTTTACTGACCGGTAACGGGATCGCAACCCTCGGCGGGAGCGCCGCCGCACTCCCAAGCAGTGCACTCTCCAGTGCGCCACCGGGCCGGCCCAGGTCTGACTCTTAAATAAGTAATGTACTACTTTCCAACAATAATTATTGCTACTATTATATTGCTCGATAAAGGAAAGGCCAGTGAAAATAAATCAAGTAAATACATTTCTACGTGGAATGGAAATGAGGGAGTGAGAGGGGGTGAGAGATTTAAACTGATAAGAGGTAATGTTAAGAAAATATCCGCAATTATATAGCACAAAATTCAAAATGCAGTATACAGGAGTCAAAGTGCAAAACACTTCTACGTAAATACCAGGAGAAGACTTTAGATAATAAGGTTATTCTTGAGAAAATGTGTCAGAACAAAAACACGCAAGTCTCTTAGGGGACTTATAACAGTGGAAATCAGACTTAACTTTTTGGTTTTAAAAATCATACAATCTGGGGCCGGCCCGGTGGCGCACTGGATAAGTGCGCCGCTTGGGAAGCGCGGCGGCGCTCCCACCCGAGGGTTCGGATCCCACATACAGACCAGTTCCCGCTCACTGGCTGAGCGAGGCGCGGGAGCAACACCGAGGGTTGCGATCCCGTTGCCGGTCCCCGGTCCGGTACGGGGGCAACACTGAGGGTTGCGATCCGTTGCCGGACACGGAAAAAGACAAAAGACAAAAAAAAAAAAAAAAAATCATACAATCTGTATGTTTTTCTGGAACCTAATTGCACATAGCCTGACAAAGACTATTAGTTCATAATAATTAAAGAAAACTGAGGAAGAATGATCTGCTCCCTCTATGACTATCCATTCCTTTTCCATTAACTACCTGAAGCTGGTGATTTGCTGCGACGAGAGGGCCCAGGGCTTTTTGATCCAGAATACTTAACAGCTGAGGATCGAGAATAAGATGATTTCAGGACACGGCACTCTAGAAGGAAACAAAAGTGCATTAAACAAATTTGGTTTAATATTGACCAAAGGGAGATTACATGTGACTGTAGTTTACTGCCTAGAACCATTACCTGATAATTTCTGTATTATTGTTAAATAATTCAATGTGCAAAGCAACTGTCCCAAAAGTACACCTGAAGTTATCTTCAGTTAGGCTACACATTTTGTGACATCACCTTATTGTTGCAAATGGAGTTCTTAATGAATACAGAAATACCAATGTTCTAACTTGATATACACAAACATCACAGCCTAATCTGTACCAGTGTAACTTTCTTTTTTAATCAGTAGCATTGATAGGCAAAGACTACAATTTTATTATGCTCTTCAACTCCTTGATTATCTTATTTGGAAAGGGTGTAAGACCCTTAATTTATGAACCTCTTAGTGTCTTATTTTCCATCTTCCCAAAGAATGGAGCATCAAAAATGAGGTAACTAGTTTTGAACAATAACTTTGTTTTTTCCATAAATAGCCAAATAAAATAGTGTTTAGATACCAGAACTAACTACAGCCAAAATAATTGCTTTTGTTTTGAACAATTAGGAACATGGGTTTTGGAGTCCTGCAGATTTTGGATGAATGATGGATCTGATATTTGCTAACTGGGGTATCTTGAGTTAGGTTCTAAGCCTTGGTTTTTTTCCCCTATGAAACTGGGATAAGAATTAAATCTGCTTCATAGTCTTGTTACAAGGATTACATTAGATAACATATTGTCTGTCATTTACTTTAAAATACTTCAATCTAGGCAGGAAGATTAAAATGTGAGTTAGTTTTAATCTATACCCTAGGGGCATTAAATTAACATGTGAAGTACACTAATCATGAAAATACACAACAGGGGAGGATAGTTAGCATTTGAAAGACTAATCAAAACCTTACACCACGAGAGCAGCAGCAACTTTTGCTTAGTTAATTAGCATTATGAACGTTAGAAAGTACTCCATTGTTAAAAGGTGTGGCTGTGGATTAGGAACATTTTAAAGACACTGCCACTCTTTCATGAGCAGGATATGTAAATATAGAGAGACAAAAAACTAGAAATTCAGAACTATGCCCTAGGGTTTAGGAATCAGAGCCAGTCCTGCATGGAGCTCTTAATATAAGATTTTGTTACTTGACTAAGGTTAGGTTAGTTGAACTCTATGGATTCTGAATGGATTTTTAATGCAAGATGTTGTCAGAAGCCTTAAAGTTAAGACTTCATCAAGATTATAATACAAGTGCCACAATTCCAGGGGCTGAGGAAGGTAGGGAGGGAGGGCTGAATAAGTGGAGCACAGAGGATTTTTAGGGCAGCAAAACTATTCTATATGATGCAGTAATGTTAAATACATGACATTACACTGTAGGCAAAACCCATAGCACTGTACAATACAAAGAGGGAAACCCTAATGTAAAATTAATAATATATCAATATTGACTCAAAATTGTTACAAATGTACCACACTAATGTAACACGTCAATAACAGGAGAAACTGTATATGTTGGTGGGGAGAGGGTGGGTGTACTTTCTGCTCAGTTTCTCAGTAAAACTAAAACTGCTATACAAATAAAGAAAAAAAAAAGATTACAACACAAGTTTGACTGATTTTTTTTTTTTTTTTAGTTTGCCTTCTAATAGATGTACCTGTGGCAGAATTAGGTCTGAGACTTGCTTTCATTGCAAAAATTTACCACATAATAGTGGCGATATAGTAATAATATAAACAGCAAAAATAGCAGCACATATATTTCTATGTGACAAGCACCCTTCTAACTGCATGACATACACTAATTCATTTAATCCTCACAAAACCTTATGAAATAGCAATTATTATCCTCATTTTGTAGGAGGTTAAGTAACTGGAGATTGAGAGGGAAAAAGATCAATAGCTCTCCCCTATCTCTAACTATTGGAGGCCATCAATCACCACCAACAAAAAACTATGAATGATTCAACTAGCTTAGATAAATTTACAACACACATGTAAAGCACTGAGTACAGTGTCTGAACAGAACACCCATAGTAAGCGCTCAACAAATGTTTTATTATTGTTGGTATTATTATCCAAATTAACTTTATAATTTAGAACATATTTTCTGTGTCTCAACTTTGAAAATGAGTACTATTGACAAAGAAATATTATGAAACTAAAGCTAAAATTAAGAAAGATGTAAACTACACATGATACATAAATGCAAATTTTGGTCAACTTTAAACTCACAGGTATGGAGGGAGAGCATTACCACAGATAACACAAAAGGATATGATCTACAATTAAGAACGTTCCAGTGGCACTACCAGCCTCAAGTAGGGCCAGTCCAATAGAATGATACAATACAGAAACCTTCAAAGGAATCTGATTCATAATTGTAACAAATGTAATATACTAATGTAACATGTCAATGACAGGAGAAAGTAAAAAGCAAAACAAACAACAAAAAGACTAGATAACTGAGCCCCAAGCACATAGGTAACTAATATTCGAAGATACTTCAAAAAATTTGTGGAAAAATGGAATTAAAAGACAATACGAATCTTTCCATGAACTTTTTGAAGACCTCTTGTAGTGTAATAGGAAAGAATGACACAAAGAAGGTTGGTGCTACAGAATGTATTGTCTTGAATTTTTAAAAGCTTATGTACAATTGTATTTATTTGATAATATATTTCTCTAATTCTGTACTGTGAGAACCATTACAACTGGAAGTGGTCTACGATCCATAAACTTTTTTAAAAGCCAACCTTCCGGGCTGGCCCAGTGGCGCACTGCTACAGTGCGCCGCTTGGGAGTGTGGTGGCGCTCCCGCTGAGGGTTCGGATCCCGCATACAGACCGGTTCCCGCTCACTGGCTGAGCGAGGTGTGGGGGCAACACCGAGGGTTGCGATCCCGTGGCCAGTCCCGGTCCGGTACGGGCACAACACTGAGGGTTGCGATCCGTTGCCGGACACAAAAAAAGACAAAAAGGAAAAAAAAAAAAAAAAAGCCAACCTTCCTCATTTATAAAATAAAAGAACATAACTATATCTCCAAGATCCCTCTTCTTTGTGAAATGTGTTCGAATGATTTTACTTTATTTAAAGATGAAGTTGACCTTATTATTGGCTAAAATAACCACTATTACTGCAATACTCGTAGGATTAAAGTAATTCAAGGCAATATGTAAAGCAATATTCCCAGAATTAGTAATGTTTGAAATCACTGGTATTATTGGTAAATAGTTCAAAACTCCATATATTTGCTAAAATCAGGAAAAAGGGATTTCCATCCTGCCCATGATACAGCTTTTTTATAAATATTTAAACAAATGCAGGTTATTGTCTTTTTTAAAAGTTGCAAAACAAGATAATGAGGTAAAAAGAAACCTTAATCACCATTAACAATTTAGTTATCATCCTTTTATGTTATCTTTACTTACACACGCAAGGGCCTGAGCAGAAGTGACTCCATTTTGTTAAGCCTTTGACTTTAAAAACTTGTTCTTTCCTGTAACCCAAATCATATAGCCTGCAGCTAATTGCCAGAACACAATGACTCTTGCTCTTACATTGTATACAAATAACAAGAGGGAAAATTATTAACCCAGATGGCCATTCTTTACTAGCTTACTAACCTGATCTTATTGGAGAACAACAGGAACTGAACACATGGGGAATAAAGTACAATCCTGGTCAACTCCCACCCGGGAAGTTCCTTGATGATTATCTGAAACACTCAAGCATGTCTGCATGTCCCCTCTTGGTCACCATGAATCAACTTTCCACCACATACCCTTATAAAACCCTTTGGCAAACCTGGGAGAGGTGGAGATAGTCTTTGAGACTTAAGCCCACCATTTCTCCAGACTGCCGGCTTCCAGATTAAATGCTACCTTTCCTTACACCAACTCTTGGCTCTCAGTTATTGTCCATTGAGTGGCAAGCAAACAGACTTTTGGGGGCAGGGGTGGGGTGTCTTGGTAACACACACACATCATGAAAAATGGACAAATAATCATTTCAGGTTCTACACATTTAAGGTGGCATAGCCAGCCACCATTCTAAAAGAGGGCAGAAAGCATTTCAGAGGCAAAACAATGCAAAAAGATGAGATAAAAGGAAATTGCTAAAAAAAAAAAAAAAAAAAAAAAAAAACCCAAACTATTTGATTACTGTAATTATTGTTTTTCCCCCCACAACTAGGCTTTCATTTTATTCTGTATTTTCATTAGTTCAAAAAGAGTACTACCAGTGCTGCCACCTTTCTTCAATGTGCCACACCTTTCAACATGTACCAAGTGATTAAATCCCAAGCCTTCATTTCAGGGTTTACGAAGATGGTCAATGAACTCTCTTACCACTGTGATCCAGGACAAAGTCATCTTGAGCATAACGGAATTTTTCAGGTCCACACGCAATAAAAACATCATCATCACCAAAAAAGTCTTGCAGACAAGTAACCTGGAAAAAAACCACATCCAAGAAATTAGAAACATTAGAAGTGGAAAAAGTGAGCAAGATTACATATATTTTCAAGCCTCAACTATAATGAGATGGAATCGAAAACTGTTTAATATCACAATATATAATATCACACTATATTTCCGAGCACTCAGCCTTTGTAAAGCACTTTCATACACTTTCTCTTGACCTCAGAACTACAGAAGAAAATGTTCAGAGCAAACATTGATACTCCAATTTTACAGGTGAAGTCAAGAGTGTACATGCAAGATTAAGTGATTATTTTCCAGGGTTTTCTGATGGATGGGTGGCAAAGCTGTGTTTGATGGAGCCTCTGCTTTCAATTTAGTGTTCTTCTTTACTCTGCTCTTCTTGCCTCTCCTAGCAACTCCACGTTCCAACTGTGTGACTTCTCTCCACCTCGAGCACAGTGCCTTGGGCTATTCTAAAGATTATATATGAAAACTGCTTGGAATACTGCAGTTAATGCTCATTCCCATAACCACCACCATCAAGATCAGAGGAAGATTTGCCATGAAGTTAGTAAGGCTTAAGCTTCAGGGCTCTTCCAAGTCCCGATACCTAAACGTGTAGTGTTAACTTCATATTCTTTTTTCAGAAAGCCCCTACCCCCAATATTGTATTAGTTTTAGACACCACATCACCTGGATCCACCTCAGGGAGCACATTTATCAATTCATCCCAGTGGTGACAAGAAGAACCATCTTTCAGGACTTTGAATATACATAGACTATACTTTTTGTTTGTCAATGGGAGATGGAAGATTTCTTTTTTAAACAGTAATCCATTCCCAATAGTAAAGTTAAACAACAACAACAACGACAAAAAAAAAAAAAAAAACCACTGCTCAATTACTTGGAAGGACTGAACAATCTCAGTAATTCTTTAAGTTTTCCTGATCACTATTTAGCTTTTTATTGGGGAAAAAAATAATCTCCCTGTATGTTAGAAAACAATTCTCCAGAGAGAAGATAGTGACCTAGATACAGTGTAGATGACTCAGGTCATAGTAATTAATTGACCCAAATGATGCACTTTTTTGCAATGCCAAAAAGTTGACTGCACAGTCAGCAAGTGGAGCAGGCACGGACAGTGCTCATCTGTTCCAATTCTCATCAAGATGTGGCTTCTGTACTTCCCAGAAACTCAGCTCAGGCCACAGTGTCTGAAGCTTTTAAGAAGAATTGTGCTTTTCATTATTCTGTTAAACCTGTTTTTCTTCTCTATCTCCATTGGTGATAGCTCACACCCCTTCATCCATGCTAGAATCCTGGGAGTCACCCTAAAAGGTCGATACTATTATTACCCCTCATTCACAAATAAGAAAATAGACCTAAAAAGAGAAACCTGGCCACACAGAGCTAGTAAACGAGAGCACTGGAACTAAGACATGAGTCCTCCGCTTCAACATCTTTGCTTAAAACACCACCATGTTGCTTTCCCTTACCTGGAATCCCACGGTTCATCTTTCTACTTACAGTTCTTACTTATTCTACCTAGCCTGAAAGTCATTTATGTCTATCTTATACTTCCAACTATTTTGTTTTTTACACACATATAGGCAATAAATAAATGGTTGTCAAATGAAATTGAGCACAGTTTTCTTTCATGGCCAAGCAAAACAAATATCTACTGAAGTTTAAGTTTAATCCAAATTTTTATAATAAGAAAATTTTGTTTTAACAATAATTCTAGCATTGAAAAAACAGCAATTAAATTTTCTAAAAAAGGGGCCAGCCCGTGGCTCGCTCGGGACAGTGCGGTGCTGATAACACCAAGGCCCCGGGTTCGGATCCCATATAGGGATGGCCGGTTGGCTCACTGGGTGAACGTGGTGCTGACAACACCAAGTCAAGGGTTAAGATCCCCTTACCGGTCATCTTTAAAAAAAAAAAAATTTTTTTTTTCTAAAAAAAATACTTAAATGTCTGTTAGAAAAAACCATTAATTTTTAATTGATTTTATTATAAAAATATTTCATCTGGTACAATATTAGTGGCATTTGACTAGAATAATGACAACGTAACTAATTAAGTTACTTATTATGTGGCATATAAGCACTTAAAAAGTCTTGGGAATATAACATCAAAAAGGTGGTTTATTTTTTTCTGTAGTTCTCTTTAGTCCTTCCGAGTCGATGTTTTAATGATTTCCCTGTCAATTTAAGTTTGGATTTCCAAACGTAGTATGCAATGGGTGTTTACCTCCTTTGATTCCTGTTCTAGTCTTGACTGCATATTTGGTTAGATAGTTAATCTTATATTCAATACAAGTGTGTAAAAAACAAGTGAATAAGTGGTACAACTGAGATAAAGCATGCCTTTTTACTAGTTTTATTTAGATGTACTCACAACAGTGACACACCTCACAATATTAAACAACAACTGCCTCCATTCATTCAATGCATTTTTACTGATCACTTATGTGCCAGTCACTATTCTAGGCGCTACAGATACATCAGTAAATATCAGTAAAGGGAAAAAAAGAGACAAAAATTCTTGCCCCCAATGAGCAAGTGTGGAGAGATACACAATAAACCAAATGCATGGGTAAATTTAGGCAATGTTAGGAGATGGTAAGTGCTATAGAGAAAGACAGCATGTGAAAGGGAAATAGTGAATGCAGGGATGGGTGCTGCACTACTAAACGGGGTGGTCATGGAAGGCCTCACTGTAAAGGTGACACCTGAACAAAATATTAAAAGAGGCAAGAGAGCAAGCCACATAAATATCTATGGGAAAAGTGTTCCAGACAGAGAGAACAGAATGTACAAAAGCCCTGTGGAGAAATCAGGCTTGGCATATTCACAAGGAATAGAAAGGGAAAATCCTGGAACACAGTGGCGGGTGGAGGGGGAGTTATTGTAAGAGAGGAGATCAGAAAGGTAAGGAGGTAGAGCAGATTGTGCAGAGCCATGTCAGCTGTTGGTAAGACCCTTGGCTTTACTCAGACAGAAAATCATCAGATGCTTTGAGCAGAAGACTGCTGTACCAGGATTTAAAATCATAACAGGATCACACCATGTTAAGACTGTAAAAGAGCAAGGATAGAAAGCAATGTAGTTGGAAACTATTGCTACTCCAGGCAAGAGATGAGGGTGGCTGTGCAAAGGTGTTAGAAGTGAAAGTAGTGAGAAGGGATCACACTGGACATAGAAATAGGAGAGGAGAGAAGAACATAAGGACTCAGGGTGTTTTGCTTCAACAGCTGAAAGGATGGGGTTGCAATTAACTCTGACAGGGAAGAGTGGTAGATAACAGACAAGTTTAGGTGTGATGTGGTTTACATGTGCTGGAAACTAAGTCAAGAAAGTGAAAGCAAAGGGTACTCCAAAAAGTTCATGGAAAGATTCATACTATCTTTTCATTGTATTTTTCTATGAACTTTTTGAAATAACCTTGTATTTCAAAGAGGAAGGAGCGATCAACTGACTTTCAATGTTACTAAGAGGCCAAGTAAGAGGAAGACTGAAAAGTGACCACTGAATTTAGTTGCAATTTAGTCACTAGGATCCTGATAAAAGTAGTTTTGGTGGAGTCACTAGGGAGAAGGTCTGATTGCAGTGGGTTTAACAGAGGATAGGAAGAGAAGAAATGGAGGCATGGAGTAGACACAACTCTTTCAAGGAGTTTGACCGCAAAGACTGGGCAGAGTAACGGTGTTGGGAAAATAGAATAATTTAATCAGGCCCCCTGCCTTAGGTCTGGTTGGGGGTGGTGCGGCTAATCCTTTGTAAATAAGTTGTGTGTGGGTGGCATTAGTGCACATGCGTGGTGCTGCGACTTGGCTGTCATCAACTGCCTTGGGCGTTGGCCACACATGGCCATGCTCTTGAACCTATGGCTCCAAGGACCGTTTGGCCGGTTACTTAGCTCATAGACCTGTGTGTGAGGGGTCTGGGGATCCAGCCTGGCATGTGAAGGTTTTGTGACCCAGTCTGTCAATGGGCTTGAGGGGTCTGTAAGCTCCAGACCCGGCCCTAGCTTGACAATTGGCCCAGTCGGAAGGATTACGAGCAGGTAAAAAGAGCTCGATGAATGGGAAGGTGGCAGAAGGGAGAAGTGAAGTAGTGGTCAAGAAAGCTTGTTTTTTAAGATGAGAAAAATAACAGCCAGTTACTATGCTGCTGAAATGACCCAATAGCCAGGAAAAAATCAGTGAGGCAAGAAAGAAAGGGGAGGATTGCTGGGGCTGCCTCCCTTCATGATGGGAAATGGAATCTGTGCAGGTGAAGGGACTAGCCTTGGATGACACTGTGGTCAATCTTGGACAGTAAAGAAAGTGAGGAGGCAGCAGCCGCTAGGTTGGACACTTGGTCCTGGGGGTGGTAGGCGTGTTCTGACTGCTTCCTACTTCACTGAGAAAATTGAAGCAAAGTCATCAGCTGAGAGTGAGGCCGGGAGAGGTGGTGTAGCAGGTTTAACAAAAGAGAAGAGGTCTGAAACTGCAATCTGAGATTGTGGGCAGAGAGAACCCCAAGGGAACCATCATGTGCCTATGGGCAGCCTTAAAGACCCACTCAGGTTCCCAGAGTTTGCACAACAGAAATTCTCAGTTCTAAAACTAGAAAGAAGATGTCCAGCCTATATAGTGCTTTGGAAAAATCAAAACCTTTCATGCTGAAATTGTTAACAATTTCATGGGGTTGTATCTAACCAGCCAATAGAAGAAAATTGATATGAACACAGATATAAAAAACTAGACTGGATAGTGCCAGGCTGCAGTGGGTAGCCATGAGAAGAAAACCTTCTTTGTTTTTTTTTTTTTTTTCCCATGCTTAAAACACAAGACTTTAGATTCAGCCGAGATGTGGTGTGGGACAGGACCAGCCTTTCCTACAGGGGTTGGGAGGCCAGCCTTTCTTTTGCTGGTGGAAATGGCCTGTGCTGTGAGGCAGGCCTTCTGATGTGAATGATGTACCAGTCATGGGGCATCAATCAGCTCACTGATCTTTTGTTGCAGTTCCTATTAAATATGAA